GGGGTCGAGGCGGCCCCTGTGTTAGCTAGTTTTTATCATATCTGCCCTCACTCTTATTCAGAGTGAACAGGGGAAATGAAATTTATTTTTTAGTTTTAGCGAATGGGGCAGGCAGCACCAATGCAATTAGCGGTTCACACACCAGGATATCGAACCCAATGCCAGCCCTGCTTCTCGTTCTCACTCTGGGGGCCTGTCTTCTGCCTTTCACTCCTCCAGGAATTGTGGGTATTTCCTGAGGGACGGAGACGTGACTCTTGGTCAGCCTAATGTGCTGACTGTCCACCTTTTTTGGTACGAAGTCTACCAGTGTAAATGTGCTTTAGCATTCAATAAAAACCCAATTAATATAGTGCTGCTGTTTTTCAATAGCTGAAGCAGTTTTATTGATCATTATTGTTTTACTGGGTATTGACATGCAATAACATATAAAATATGGTATCCTGCATCGATTTCAGTTTTGGGCCTTTAAGTGATTTGTGCAGATTTTGCTATATGAACACTGGTTCCAGATTTCTCTTTAAAGGGTGATATGGGTTCTCTTGATGTCCCCGGCTCAGTGCATTTTGGGAATGGTCTGCTTTGTGGTCCAGTCTATTTCAGAGCACTCTGCGTTGTCCAGTCAGCATGAACGACTGGACAGGAGCTGGGAGGGGTAGATGTAAGGTTACATCTGTAGGTTGGGGTCCTGCTGTTTGGTTGTAGGAAGGTGTGCTTAAAGGTGTATACAGTGTACGCTTCATCGTATTTAAATTCCCGAACAGCGAAGTTCCTCAGTTTCCTGTGAATTTGTTCTTTTCCTGCTGAGGACTCAGGAGGGTGGGATGAGGGTGGGGGGCTCCGCCTTTTCCTACCATGGTTGGCATCCCAGAGAGGGCTGTCCCACAGAGAAGGGCCCCTTTATCCCAAGATGAGCGCTGGAGGCTTAGGGCCTCGTCCGGCTGCAGAAACGTTCAGGGCGTCTCGTTCCCTGCGAGCCCTTCGAAGTCACCTAATGGGTTCAGCCTTTTGTCGTCCAGAGCCACTTCATGCTGAAAGGGAGGACAGTTTGAAGTGCTAATAGGCAGAAACCCCCCCATTAGTGGATCCTCGTTAATGAGTGGCCATAATGAAGCTTTCTCTCTTGGCTTTCCCCTTAAATTTTTTTTTCACGCTCATTAGCTGTTCTTCTGTTCAGATTCCTGTTTCATTTTTAAAGGCCAGTGCATTTGCATGTTACTGTTTATCTTTTAACAGCCAATCTTCTTTTTTTTTGTTGTTGTTGAATTAGAGCTTCAAAAAACAGCTCCGAATGTGCCTGATCCCTGCCTGAATGGCAATAAATAAGGGTTAGGGGTTTTGTAGCTTTCCTTGGAGCCCCCCTCCCCCCCCCCCCTTTTAATAGTTGTATGAGCTGATGACAGGGGTGTCTAAGAAAATGTTTCTGCACAATTCACAATGTGAAATGCCTGTAGGGATTGAATCCTACATGCTGGCTGTGCACAACAGGTCATATCACACACACACACACACACACACACATGTATGTGTTCATATCTTTGTGGGACCATCCATACATTTCTATAGGCATAACTCTAATCCCAACAATGAAAACCTTAACCCCTACCCAACAATAACCGTAACCACAAATAACTAAACAAAATACAAGACTTTTGACATTTTTAATTTTTTGATTGCATTCACAGATTCCCCTTGTGGAGACCAAAAAGGTGTTCTCTGCAACGTCAGAATAACAGGCTTTATCACGTTTGGTCCCCACAATGTAACATATACATGACGACACACACACACACACACATACACAACATTCACTCAGTACCAGTTTTTTTGCTGCTGTAAGTGGAGAGTCAGAGATGGTGATTGCAGGTACGTCGGCCTTTATGTTTGCTGCCGAAAGCTCGGTCTTGAACTCCTTCCAAGAGTCGCCCCCTTTCATCTTTTCGTTTCTGCGCTCCTCAAAGAAGGTGAAATTATTGGCCCATGGACTGGATGGATGTTTTTTTTTTTTTTTTTTTTCTTCCTTAAACATTATGGAAAGTATTTCAGATACACTCACTCCTGTTTTCTGTTTGTATCAGTCATTTTTTAAGGAATCTGCTCCCCCTCTTCCTCTGATGCCACCAGTAGACAACCCACCGGTAACCCCGCCCCCCCCCCCCCATCACAGGGTCCCCTCTGCTTTAGCACAGAGATGCTTCAGATCAAGTCTTTTGACTGATGTCCTGTTTGTAATGCAGAAAATCCTGCTTTGTTGTACAATTATGTAGATCTGTTCTCTTTGTCTTTCTGATTGGCCGGCATATGTGTCCAGTAGATCTGCATATATTAGCAAAGGCGCAGGGCCGTGAGTGACAGGACGTGGACCACAAGACAAGATGTTCCTTTTAGCGTCGTGGAAGGCGGAGTGGGGGGGGGGGGGGGTGTCATTGTCAGGCTTTCTGCATATGGCCATCTGCTGCTGGGGACGGGGTTGTATAATCCCTGACATCTTTCTTCTGTTGAATCGCAGCTCTGTTCCCTTCATTTCAAGGAGCAGAACAGAGAGAGAGATCTACCTTTAATTGCCACCCCCTGCAGCAGCCTGCTTTTTGGCCTGGTGAGAGGCTTTTCTTTGCCGCATGTTAGAAGTCCTGAGTAATGCCCCTTGGAGGCGCCGTCGGGGCCAGGGTGACCCCAGTGGAATCTTCTTTAGCCACATGCTAGTGCGGAGCAGACGGTGTATCAAACCGGACTTCTGCTGAGGTGCCTTCGCCATGACTGTCCGGCGCATGTTGGTTATTCGATGGTTAAGCCTTAAATTCTTTCTGTCATGTGTACTTAAAATCGCGTATTTAGATTAGTCATAGTGATTTAACTCGGCCTGTCAGCCCGTAGCATGAGCTGCATTGGCTGTGTTAACGTTTTGGCCTTCGTGTCAGTAGGAAGCACAGTGGCGATTGTAAGTACGCCCCCACCTCCTAAAGAGCTTAGGTTATTAGGCAGTGCAGCCGTTGAGAAGCTAATAGGACCAGTGAATAGCTGGCCATCCCACTGCCTGTGGGTCGGAGTTACGCAGCCACTGCAGGCTGGTTCCAGCTGATCCCAGCCTGCAGTGTTCATGTGGCCTACAACCTCGCTGCCCCCACC